AAAAAAAAAAAAAAAAAAAAAAAAAGGTAGGACTACTCGGAGAGAGGTTGCAGATTTACACAGAGAAAGGATCAATTCAAGCACAATGGAGAAGATTCAACTCTTCTTCTAAGCCACTAAAATGGTATAAGGTAATGATAAAAGTATGAAATAAACATTTTCCTATTTATTTATTTATTTATCCTTTATGTGATTTTCTCAAGCTGTGATTGACATCCACTGCTCCACATTCTGCTACGAACTGAAGTAACAAAGTCTATGATCTCTAAATCATTTACCCTATAACCGACAAGTCTGATTTTTTTTTTTTTTCTTTTTACCTCCTAACAGACGACATTTGATTCGCCCGGGGGCTTTGATCCTGTAGCACTAAATCTTGGCACCATGGGAAAAGGTGAAGTTTGGATCAATGGTGAGAGTATTGGCCGGTATTGGATATCCTTTCTTACACCAGCTGCCACTCCATCACAAATATGGTAAAACTCAATACTTTATATATACTACTTAGAAAAATTAAACTTTAAGATGCATCATAAAGAATTTTTATGTTTCCTTGAGTGAATATTCGGAGATTAAAGGCTGCACCAAACTTTTCAATTCGTTCCACTAGATAAACCGAGTTGTGAAAATTTTCTGAAAAAAAAAAAAAGAAAAAAAAAACGCATCTAATTTTTTGAATCACCAATCATTTCTGTCTCTCAAAGAAATTAAAGAAAAAGAAAAATATATCCAACTTTCCTATGATATCAGACCAGTCTCAAATATTTTCCTACCATAATAGATAGCTTCTTTTCGAATTTTTTTCTAACTTATCCTCCTATTATTTCAGGTATCACATACCAAGATCTTTCCTCAGACCTACAGGCAATCTCTTAGTATTGTTTGAAGAAGAAGAAATAGGCAATCCTCTAGGCATAACAGTCGACACAGTTTCTGTTACTAAATCACGCAGACATTTTCTGATTAAGACTCAATGACAATGAATATGATGGTGGCTAAAGTATCTTCTGGACTTACATATACTACAGTTCAAACCAGTGTACACTAATGGTGAAGACGAGCTCGCAATAGCTTTCTTGGAGAAATACGATCGAATCCCGGCGCTAATATAATTATTTATTACAACTATTATTATTCCTATTATTCCTTATTTATCTCTTTTTATTGTTAGGATGATATTTATCTTTTAGGATTAAAACTTGATTAGCAAGTTAGAATTTTATTAAGCATAGGAGTCTATCTATTGTCTCGGGAACGAGTTGGACGGGGAGTTTGGTCGAATAAGAAAATTATCTCCCTCATTCGTACGCTGCGCTACACCAACTAACATATACAAATTAATCGTACGCTGTGTAAGCAACTATAAATTGTTGCTCAAAATGATCAGCAACAAATTGAAATCATTAGACTATATTGTACTTGTGGCAACCTCAATAAAATAGTGATCGGTAAATGTAAACACTCAATTGCATGTCGATCATTCAACACTTACTTCCCAAATAAATTTTGATGTTTAGTCACAAATAACTAGCAGAGGATTAGGCAGCAGTCTATTATACTAGATTAAAAAAAACAACCAAACGAAGAAGAAGAAGAAGAAGAAGAAAAAAAAAAATCCCGGAACCTTGTAGGTGCAAATGCCTTGGTCTCCATTTATCAGCCATTTTTCCATTTCTTTCTGGAATATTTCTTTGTTTCTGGGGTTGCTTGAATATCCATTTGAATCTTAACCGAGCTTCTCACATTAGTACTGTGGAAGCTTGAAGGCAAAAGGGCTTTTTGAGAAGGCAGCTCGGAAATGAAAAGCAGAGTCTGAGCCCAACCAGCATACTTTCCATATTTGGTCACAAAAGCATCCGCCACACGAATGCAAGTTTTAGGTGTCGGGTGAGTGCCCGCCAGCTCAGGGACGAGATACCTTGTTGCAATCTTTAACAACATTGAAAAGAAAAAAATGCGTATCAGAAAATTAATCAGACAACACTTTTATTTGTTTCATTTTTGTATAAAGAAAAATGGTACATAGCCAACCTAGTGTACAACTAGGTTGACAACACAAGTGGAAACATCCACCTGTGTATTTTTTTTATTTTTATGGATATTTTTTACTCGTGTAGCATTTCTCTTTTATAGAAGACGTTGACATGAGCACTTTTTTGATTTCATAAACGATAAGCTAGCAAAAGCAAAATATAGAATATTATTTTAAGCAAATTCATTCCAAGTCCTAGATGCATCGATTTATGATCTAACAGAAAAATGCATGACATAACAGCGAAAGCAAGATAGAAAAAGGAAAAAGGGAAAAAAACAATGTAGTTCTTTGTCAAGTTGGAATTACGCTCATTGATGCTTAAGTCACAGGATGCAGGAAAAGATCTTAATATGAAAAAAATCCAAGACAAGGCAAAAGTCTCAAGGAGTAAATTCAACCCTAAAATTATAACTGCACATCAGAAATAAACTATTATAGACCGAAACAATGGTAAGCTATCATTGTTGGATCACATATTAAAAAAATATTGCCAGTTGGAAAAACAACAGATACGACCAAGAAACCATACTCCTCACAAGATTCAAGCAATCAAGTGAAGAAGCATGAAACTCATATTCGATGAACAGAAACTAAAGAAACCATAATTAATGCACAGACACAGTATTCGATAAAATAAAGAAAGAATATGCATGCTCACACAGTCACACTAGAGCCTTGATGAGAACTTTAATATAACCTAACCTTCCATACATGAGTGTCCACCGGAATAGCATGATGTTGATCTAAAGAGAAAAGAGCAATGCATGCAGCCACTTTGGGGCCCACACCAGGTAAACTAGAAAGACCTTCGATAGCCTCTTGAAGATCTAACTTACGGAGAGAAGCAAGCCACTCTACACCTCTCACAGGTTTTGATTGCAAAGCTGTCACGGTGCCAACAATATATTTAGCCCTGTTCATGTTTAAGACAAAAAGTACCGAAGATTAGAAAAAAAAGTGGACTTGTTCTTCCAGTTCAACCAAGGTACAGGCACGCAGCGTGGTAAAGGCGACATATTTCACAATCTAGAGCTATAAGCGAATTGTTTTAGAATGTGGCCAAACCATTATCCACTATTCCACTTCAGCTATTAATTTGCAACTATTTTTCAAGAGCCAACTCCTGTTTCAGCTCCTATGCTCTAAATCAATGAACAATCCGTGTTCGTTAATTTTCTTAATGGATAATCTTAGAAGCAAATATAAACAATTGAGAGAGGTGAAGACAAAAAAGCTCTTCCATCCTAAGGACAAAATGCATTCTTGACTTTACATATACAAAATTCAAACAAAATCATAACCATAGAAAACAACTAATCTGCTGATAAAATGCAAGAATATAAATTCGACCTGTATCCGAACCCGGCCTCCCTAAGCTCAGCCTCCGAAACCAATGCCAATCTTTCCAGGCTCGGAAACTCGAAAAAATCATAACCTCCCACACTCCCCAAGAATTTCCCCTTGGACGAAATAAAATCCACCATTTTCGTAATCCGCTGTATATTATTATTGGAGGAGCAGATAAATTGAATCAAGCACTCCAATGGGTCCTGCCTCAGAACCCTAGCGCCCTCCAAATACTGAGCCAGCTCAGAAAACCTCTCATCGGAGGCCTTGAACTCTTCCCAAATCTTATTTAACGAAATGCCCATGTTCAGAAAATCAAAAAGCTGGGTTCTTGCTGCATCTTCGTCGTCCGTAAAGTGACAGAAGTATCCAACGCCGTCGTCCTCGAGCTGCTTGAGGGAGACGAGGTGTGGGCCGACGGGGCCGGTGTATTGCGAAGGGCCGGTTTTTTTCCACCGGAAGGTTTGGCCGGTGGGGAAAGTGAGCGGCAGGTAGAGCTCGGACTTGCTGATGTTGAGGGGTTTCCATTTGACGTCGTCGACGGCGGAGGGGAGCGGTTGGGGATTCTGCAGAATGTTTCTAGGTTTTCTGGAAAGGCGCTTTTTGTGGATTGTGCTGAAGGATTGACGCAGTTGGGGCGTTGGAGGGGTTGTTGGAGGTTGGGATAAGGGCGAATTTGGTCTTTTCATCCTCAGAACCGATCTCGGCGGCTGCATGTAGAAGAGGACGGCCTCACTCCGCCTCGAAGTC